ACAAGTGAGACTTAGCCTCTCTGTACAAATGCATTTTCTGCGTTGGTATCGCCTGGCTCTTCCTCTAGCTCACTGAGTAGCCTTTAGACACCTGACGTTGCTGGGCTTTAAGGCAGTTTCTGTTGTCTTGTGACCCACATAGGACTTTTCTCTTAACTGTGACCCAAGGTCCTCTGATCTGGGGGGCCAAAAGGAACCCTTTGAGATGAAATGACTCGAGGCCTTCATTTTGCAGGTGAGGCGGGCCCGTCCCAGGTCTGCAGTTAGCTACAGAGGGAGAATGCAGATGTGCCGAGCTGGGCCAGTGCCCTTTGCACCGTGCTGCCCGCTCCCTTAGCATAAGTTGTCCCAGTGCTGCCTGAGCAGAGAAGCAGCCTTCTCCCTTCTCCCCCAGTCCTTGCTGAACATGGAGTTCTAAGTGCAGCAGTTTTAGCCACTTGGCAGACTGAGGCAGGAGGATCACGCGTACCGGGTCGGCCTGGGAGACTTGGTGAGACAACACAGCAGGACACAACACAGCAAAACAAAACACAAGTTGTAAGTGCTTTGATGACCTAAAAAAAGTGAAGTTGAAATCAGTGATGCCTTAATACAGTGCAGTTGGTGTGGCAGGTGCTACCTATTAGGATTTTATTAGGGGAGCCTAATAAAAAGGTGCTGCTGTTGGAAAGGTGGTAGGTGGTGGCCACACCTAGCCAGGTCAGTGGAGCTCAGGGAGGACGACTCGTTAGTTCAGAGGAAGCACTGGGGTGAGAGCTTGCTCTGGTTCTCTTGCTGTCACAGGTGTCCCTTAGGCATTCTCTCTTTCCCCTAAGAGGAGCCCAGGGTTACAATGCCTGCTGTGTTGAGAAGGCTCAGAGGAAAGGAAAGGGAACTTGCTAGGTGATGCACCATGGTTCTGCATGGAAGCTCAGGTCTGTGTCCCCAGACATCACCTTTTCCATCTTGCTGCCTCCAGGGTCCTGGCCCCGGATGTTCACGTACTGGGCCCAGAGGAACTGACCAGTTAGATCTGTCATGCACTCAACAGATTTGCTAGGTGTGAGGGACGGAAAAGTGAATCTGTTAGACCAGCCAGAGAGGCAGATAGGAAGGCCCTGGTATTTCTCTACTCTTGGGCCCTCTTCTCTTCCTGTTGTCATTTTTCTAATATCAAGAATTTCTTGTGGTTGTTGTACATATTTAATGTTGTGGTGTTTCTTTTTCATTTCTTGTCCCATTTTAAAGTGCATTTTATAATGTATGATGCCTTAAAATGATGCCATAATGTGTGATGTATGAAAATACAGTCATCAAATAATCACAGTGACCATACCGAAAAGCAAGTGCTCCTTATCTCCTCAGGCCTCAGGGAGCTGGTGCTGAGATGAGAGGTGCCCAGGAATCCCAGGGGGTGTTCACAGAGCCGCAGGGGTGGAGAGGTGCAAGTTCAGCACTTCCGGGCACTTGCCACACAGGCGGTCTCTGAGGGCTGCCCTTGCAGAACTGTTGCAGACTATTAAGCAGGGGTTTATAAACTGGCTATGCATTATAATCAGCGGGGGATCTTTTCAAATAAGGAAGGCAAGCAGGGCAGGGGCGCAGCTCAGTGGTAGAGGCTTGCCTAGCATATGCAGGCCCTAGGTTCCATCCCTAGCAGCAAAACAAAACAAAACAAATCTTGGAGCTAAACCCCATCTGATTAATCAGAATCTCTGGAGCAGGTGCAGACAGCAGTGTGTTTTAAGGCCCCCAAGTGCTACCCAAATGCACTCCAGTTAGTGCGGAGGAAGGAGCAGTGCTTCTGAAAGTTGCTGGGCAGAGGAGTCGCCTGGGTGCTCGGTAAAGTGCAGACTGGTGCAGCAGGTGGGGGAGAGGCCTGAGACTTCCTGTCCTGAAGGTCCGGTCAAGAAGAGCCAGAGACTCACATCCAGCAGGCCCCTCAGGGTGCAGGTGCTGCTAGTATGTGGACCCTGGTTTGAGGAGCCTGGGGCGGGGCCCTAGAGCCAATCCAGGGTTTTTGAGATAATGGAAATAGCCCCAGACATTTTTTTCCTTTTGTCTGCAAGACCACCCTCTCCCAAATGGGGCCCGAGGACTGGCCCACCTACATCAGAGCAGCTCCGGATCGTGCTGCAGACACAGGTTGCCAAGGTTGGGGGATTCGGATGCCGTTGCAGCACCGCACACAGGCAGGGCTCCCTGCGCCCCACTGTGCCGCTTTCTGTCCCCACCAGGTGGGAAAGGGTGCTGCTGTTTTCTCCTGATTCGCTAGAAGAGCTGCAGCCTGCAGGGGTTGGGTCATTTGCCTTGGCACTTGAGGACTGAGAGCAGCATTTGGTGTAGCCTGGGTGAGCTTGTTCTTAAAAGATCTCCAGATGCTGGCGATGTTCTGCCTCCCTGTGGAAATCTCAAATGAAAGTATTCTGTATTTCCTGAAGAGGTGCCATAGAGATGAACCCCTCTGTGTGAAACATGAATCTATTTGCATTTAAGACATGGAAATGCACCTAACAGAAAAACCTTCAGTTTTAGGAACAAGAACATTTTATGTAATGGAAAAGACAAAAAAAAAATCTTTTTAAGACACAATGTCTCACTTTGTAGTTAAGGCTGGCTTTGAACTATATAGTCCAGTCTGGCCTCAAACTTGGAGCAAACCTTAGAGCCCCCCTGCTTCAGACATGCGGCATCATGCCTGGCTAGCAAATATTTTTAAAGACTGTCTTTGAAATAACGCAATAATTATCTGATAATACAATAGTAAAACTCATTTTCTGAGCTTGAACACAGGTGAAGACTAATGAATTGTCCTCCAAGAGGAAGCAAAATGTTTGGTACCATTACTAACATTTACTGACACGGAAAAAAGTTTACAATGTAATGAGAGATAAAAAGCAATTTTTATGTCATGATCTCATTTTTGTTTAAAAATTGTAACAAAATACGTTTATTCAACAAATAAAATTATGGGTGCTTATACACAAGTTATTAATAGTGGTTTTGTTAACCACTGTTAATATGATGAGGTTACATACATTCTTTCTTTTTTCACCCTAGTCCTAAATATTGCTTAAGCTCCTACTTTGTGACTAACACTATCCCAGGCATTGTGGGAAGTATATGAAAGTGTCTGGGCTGATTCCATCCTACAAAACCAACTAGATCCACATGAAACTAAAGTATATCAGCTGTGTTTTCATTTAATCCACCCTATACCTATGAAGGAAACTTGTGGGTTAATTGGTGGTTTGGGTCAGCCTTCTCTCCATGCTCCCTTATGCCCTCCCATTCATCCATCCATCCATCCATCCTTCCATCCACCCATCCATCCATCCACTCATCTACCCACCCACCAATCTATCCATCTATCCATCCATCCACCAGTCCATCCATCCATCCATCCATGTGCGCATCCACTCACCCACCAATTGTTCTATTCTTCCACCCACCCATCTACCCAGCCATGTCTTCATCATTCAGAAAGCACTCACTAAAGTACCTCCCATGTATGTGTGAACAGATCATGGGAGGATGGTACTTTAATGTTGTCACCTTCCAATACCATGGCGCTTTTGTCAACACTAAGAAGCCAATATCAGTACATTGCTCATAATGCCTCACTTGACCACTGTTTTCCCAGTACCATCCTCTTCCTGTTCCAGGATCCATTCCAGGATGCCACAGTGCATTTTCTTTTTTATTTTATTTTATTTTACTTTTTTGGTATCAGGGCCACAGTGCATTTTCTTGTCACATCTCCTTCGTCCGTTTCGGATGGCTTTGACAGTTCTGAAGAGGATTGGAGGTTACTCTTGTCGACGGTCCCTGAATTTGTGGTTTCCTGTGATTAGATTATAGATATGGGTTTTTGAACAGAATACACTGGGGGAGAGTACACTTGTCCCCACGTGCTGTCGGGATGACCTCAGTGATGTTCAGTTGATCACTGGGTGTGTGCAGAGTTGGCTGGGTTTCTCCACTGTAAAGTGAGTCCCCAAACCCAGCCAGTCTCTAGAAGGAGCAAGTTCCTCTCCTGAAGTAGGCAGTGTCTACAGTCTGGTTTGCAAGTCTTAAACATGACTTGTTTATTTTCATTTACTTACTGATTCTCCTGTATCAGTGTGGATGTTTATTTTATGCTTTGGGTTCTATCCCAATACTATATAATTTCTTTCATTGCTCTGATTGCTGCAGCCTTGGCCGTGGAACATTCTTCAGCTGGCTCCTCTGTCCCCTGGCGTGCCCTTGTCCTTTGTTTTTGAGCACGTCCTTATTTCCTGGTACTAGGCGTTCCAGGCTCATCATGTGTTTTCTCCGTCCAACCCTAGAATTAGCCACAGGTCCCTGGTGCCCTGATTCCTTTTATTGGAGAGTGGTATTTGTAAATCAAGATCTGGGTGTTCATGGTCTTTTGAGAGAAAGAACACAAAAATCCGCCCCCCCCCCAACATCTTGTGTGTCATGTACAAAGATCTGTGGAAGCTGGGAGAACAGAGTGACTTCTGTCACCAAGAGACATCCTTGCTGAAGAGAGGGTACTCAAGTTGGGTAGGGTTTCCAGAGGGAGGTCGGGATAGGGAGGGGAGAGAACATGTCAGCCGTATCAGGGCACCTGGCTTTTCATCTGAACTTGTTGTAGACCAACAGTGGCAGTGGTCCTTTTAACTTTTCTCATCACTGCTGAGTGAGTGATTGTCACAGTCCCAGTCTCTTTACGAGAGATTTCCTCTGCATATGGCCTGACAGAGGACCCTCCCTGTCCTCCTGAGCAGACCTCGGTCCCGTTCTCTGCCAGGTCTAGTTCCAGGAGCAGGGGCTGATGCCTGCTGTCAGGAAGCTCTGTTGTCTAGCGTGAGGTCCTTGAGCTCTCCTCCCTTCCCTTTAGTGCTCCACCAGGCAGCTGTCTAATTCGTCATGCTTTGCAGGACAGAATAGAGCAGCGGGCGGGAAGCAGGAGCAATGTCTGTGCTGTGACCCTGACCTGCTTGACTCACTCAGAAAGCCTTCTCTGTTCACAGATAACAGTCGGTGTCTATGACCCCTGTAACCTAGCCCAGTACCCCGGATGGCCTTTGAGGAATTTTTTGGTCCTAGCAGCCCACAGATGGTATTTACAAGTGTGTGTGTGTGTGTGTGTGTGTGTCCATGCCTATGTGTTTTTAACTGTGTTGTGTCTGTCTCTCTGTTTTCCCAAATGTGTTTTTGTTTCATTACTGGCATGGAAACCAAAAAGTAGATCAATAAATCAACCATAACCCAGTTTCCCTCCATGGCAAGTTCTTAATCAGGTCTGCCAAGGAGCAAGGATATTTTAGACCGTGGGAGGGCGGATGGCCAGTGGCCCTGAAGCTGAAATCCATCAGCCCTCCCTGCAGACCATCTACATTGCTTTCAGGGAGGCATTTCCTGTGGCTGCCACCCCTGATGTTTTCCCAACCCCAAAAGAATTAAAATAGAGGGTATCTAAAAGCCAGGTAACACCTGAAGAGATGCAAACACCCTCAGTCGTCAAGGAGAGAGCGGTAGAACTGTAATGAGACGCTATTGCTTGCCCACCAAAGTGACTTAGCCCAAGCGACCCTGCCAAGAGTAGCTGGAGACATGGGCGCTGGGACCCTGACACACTGCTGCAAAAATGCTTGGCAGTATCTACCAAAGTTAAAAATATCTGCGGCTCGGCAGTCCCACACAGTATGTCATGTGCAGAGAGGCAGGCATATAGGCAAGTACACCCCATCCAGAATGTTTACAGCAGCGTTATTCTTAATGACCCCACTCTGAGAAGAAGCCCCTGTCCTCAGCAGTGGGGTGGACAGTAAATAAGAGTTCCTTACAGTGAGGGGCTGCCTTGCCGCCAGTCTGCAGGAAGTCCTGGCACACGCTGCGGCGCAGGCGCGTTAAAAGCCGTGAGGCTGCGTGAAGTAAGTGGCACCTGAGAGTGCACAGCGCCGGGTTCCATTTACGTGAAGACCAAAGCAGGCGAGGCTGTGGAAGGCTTAGCGGTGGGCAAACTTCCTGTGCAGCGGGGTGTGTAGTGACTGGGACAGGCCAGCGACAAGGCCCTTTATACTTAGCGTTTGTCCGCTCTTGCTCGGGCCTGCTTGGCGTAGGAGAACGTTCTTCCACAGGCCCGGAAAGGGAGATCATTCACAGGCCGTCCCTGGGGGGGAAGGGGCGGGAAGAGCCCAGGTCCCACAGGTGCTTTTGTAAGGTCCTGGGAGCACTTTCCCTGCGCTTGAAAGCTTCGTTGGTCACAGTTGTTTCTCGGCAGTGTGAGTGCTATGTAAAATTCACCTAGAGAGAAAGGACAGCCAACTTGACGCCCAGCCCCGAATGATGGCTCAGGGACGCTCGTGTGGATCTATTCAGAACCTCCCAGGCTAAGGCCGTCCCTAGGGTGTCTGAGAGGAGGAATTGGAATGCACTGAATTCTCTGCAGCTGTTTTGTGAAGCGCTTACTGGGCTGCTGCTTTTCCTCCTTACAAACATACAATAAGATCTGCACGACTTGCTTCATGACAGGAGCAGCAGCTTCCAGTCCGTCGAAGTCCTTTGCTTCCGCGACCGCACCATGCAGGGGGCGAGAGACATCGCGCACAGCATCATCTTTGAAGTGAGGCTCCCGGAAGTGACCTTCAGCCCAGGTAATGCACTGGTCTGTGACGACACATGGAACTCTCAGCTGGCAGGAGCTGGGTCAGAGTGGCTTCGCCTCGTCTTTTACCACGGCCACGCAGGGAGACGAGCAGAACTCCTGTCTGGCTGCCTGGGCACAATCCTCCTTGTAGCAGTCATGCCCTGCCATGTGGCTTGAACAAAGGCAGAAATTGGGGCCAGGAAGTCTTCTTCAGGCAGCTTTTTCAATTTTGAGGGTGTTTTTGTTTTGTTTGTTTTTGACACAGGGTCTCCCTTATACTTCAGTCAGCTTTGAAGTCACTGTGTAACCCAGGCTAGTTTTGAACTCTTCTGTAATCCTGCTGTCTCAGCCTCCGGAGAGTTGGGATTACAGATGTGTGCCATCATGCCCAGCAGTCTTGATGGAAGGGGCGGGAAGAGCCCAGGTCCCACAAGGTTTTTCCCCCCTCAGTCTTCATTTTTATTTTTGTTTCATATGAAATCTTTACTTCTGTCCTTTCTTAAAGGAAGACTGAAGTATTAGTGCACTTGCATGTTTGTTACTCACTTAAAGCTGTGTGTGATCCTGTTCACCATATAATAAACCAGTCACCAGAAGTGCCATTTCTCCTGCCACGTTTCCTATCTCTGATCCCTGTGTGACAGATGTTAATTAGGAAAGTCAGACTGGAGGTATTACATGTAGATGTGTATTAAATGTACACGGGTACGTATTTACATTTTTATATATGTCATAAAGTTTGAACACATACTCACTTGAGGAAAAAAAGGACATAAACTGGATGTGGTATCACATGCCTGTAATCCTAGCACTTGGGAGGCACAGGAGGATCACTGTGAGTTTGAGGCCAGCCTGGGCTGCATAGTGAGTTCAAAGCCAGCCAGAGTTACATAGTGAGACCCTGTCTTAAGAGCAGAAAGAAAGAAAGAAAGAAAGAAAGAAAGAAAGAAAAGAAAGAAAGAAAAGAAAGAAAAAGGAGAGGGGAAGGGAGGGAAGGAGAGGAGAGAAAAAAGAAAAGGAGGAATAATGCCTATACTTACCTCATGGAGTAGTTCTTTTTTTAATGGTACCAGAGATTGGACCCAGGGCCTTTGTATTGAGCCACATTTCTCAGCGCTTCCCTTCTTTTAATTTTGAGGTAGGGTCTAGCAGAATTTCCCAGGCTGGGCTCAAATTTGAGATCCTCCTGCCTCAGCCTCCCAGAGAGCTGGGAACACAGGTGTATGCCACCAACCTGCCTAATTATTTCATATGAGAAATCTGTGTGCTGTGTAAAAAACAGAGCACAATGTCTAGCATATTATAGGTGCTTAATCAGTGTTGTGTGAATTTCCCATCTCACTGTTTATATCGCAGTATTTATACCTCTTTCCAAAATCACCCCGCATAGCGGTGGGACTCACGCTTTCCAGAGCACCTCACGTGGGCTGCTGGATTTGCACCTCATGACCTCCCAGTATTCCCAGCAATTGCTTTCTTCAATCCATGGATGCGTGTGTGATGGGGGATGTTAGAGACACCCCATCTCTTCTGAGATGTCTTTTCTAGAGTGTAAAATCAGAGGCTTCATCTGCGACTGGCACGGGTGTCTTCAGCAGACACTGGGAGAAAATAGCATGCTCTGCGTGCTCGGTCACGGGAAGCGGTGCGCTGTTTTTTAGTTCAGAACCTTCTGCCTGTTACCTTAGAGTTTGCGTTTGGTTTAGCGCCCTCTTCTGGCCCATTCTAAAATAGCTTCTGTGTCACATTACCGTAGATGCATGTTTAAAACCACAACTTAAATGGTTTAGGGAAATGATGTGAGAGTTAACTAAAACAAAGTATCAGCCAGACAAGGAGCACCTGCCTATCATTCCAGCTACTTGGAGGCTGAGGCAAGAGGGCTGCAAGTTTGAGGCCAGCCTGGTCAACTTAGCAAGACCCTGTGTCAAAATAAAAAGGGCTGGAGGTATAGCTTAGGTTCTCTGTCTTTATTGTTTAGGAAAGGCAGTTTTTATTTTCCTCTAGGGTGCAAATACAGCCTTATAATAAACAAAGCTTTGCAGAGACTCACCCTAGCCCCTGGGCTCCAGGAGTGCACACAGGAGCACTTTCAATATCGTCCTGTGCCACACGGCAGTGCTGTCAGCGATACACCACATGTGCGGCAGTGGCCCCATAGTCAAGTCAGCCAGCGCTGCCCTAGCCACTCAGCGTGTGTAAGTATAGGCTGTGATGTTTGCACAGTGGTAAAATCAGCCAGTGCAGCCCCGCTGCTGACAGGCATGTGACAGCATTTCCAGGGTGTCCATAGTTGCGGTGGCAGTGGTCTAAGTGGTATTCTCTTGGAGGACTGGGATGCACTTCTTGCCTAGTGTGCACAAGGCCCCGAGTTCCATCCCAGCACTCCAGAGACAGGAAGTGTGACTTTAAATATCCCTCCCTCCTCTTGCTCCCGTGATGCACCTGGCATGCTCCACATAGTGGAGACACGTCCGGGCCTGGCCACTGGCAGAGGGCACAGCAGGCACTGCTGAGGGTGGCAGGGTCCCCTCTTGATGCCTGTCCCTGGAGTACTGTTCCTCGCTCCTAGGTGGAATAGGACAGCACCTCCTTTTCCCTGAAGCCATCATCTCATCATTTGGGGCATGTGTTATGGGTACAGATGATACGGAGGGAGATATGGTAAATCAGTGTTATTTTCATACATAGTTGTTTGCATTGTCGGTAAGCTTCAGATACATTGGTCTTAAAAATCAGTATAACCTCTCGGATATGGAGGGGTTTATTTTGGTTTTATCCTATAATTAGGATTATGGGTAGGAGAATTTTGCGATGATAGAGTCCAGCACCATTCCCTGGCTCTCCTAGGAGGTTGAGTTGGTGCTTGAGCGGTGGTGGAGGCAGAGTCAGAAAGCCAGAGAGGCTGGGCAACGCAAAGCTGAGGGAGATAAAGCATTTCTTACTGCAGGCTTTAGCGCGCCCAGCCCCTCACTGCAGTGTGAGTCTCCAGATGTCTGTGGGTGGCGTAGGGACTCGGTACAGGTGTAAGTGTGAAGCATTTCCCAAGGGTCTGCTTTCTGTTCCTGTTTTGAGACAGGGTCTGACTGTGTAGTTCAGACTGGCCTTGAACTTGCTATGTACCCCAGGCTGGCCTCGAACTCATGGTGATTGTCCCCCCAGGTGTAGGGATTACAGGTGTGTATCCCCACACCTGGCTTCCCGAGGTTCTTTAGCATGGAATAAGACATACTTCAGGAACTGCTCGAATTGGAGTTCTAGGGGCTCCCATGGCAGGGGAGAAAGGATAGGCCAGGGAAGGGGAGACTGAGTCACTAAGGATGAGCTTAAAGAAGAAGCAGCTTGTAGTGGGACAGTCACCCTGACAGGGATGCGTTTGCACATGGGTATGCAGTTGAGGGGCCTGAACGAAGGGACACACTGAACGGAGAGAACTCAGCGGGGTCTGTGCCAGCGTAGGTCTCGCTCGGGTAGACTGCCTTTCCCAGGCTCGTCTCTTGGAGCTACTCCTAGTGAAAGAGGAGGTGGACACACCCTGGGTGTGGGCGGAGGGCTGTCTCCAAAGCCCTGTCCAGCAAGGCATCCTCTGGTCTCCTAAGCAAGATTCCCAGTCTCAAGCAGGATGAGGAGGCAGCTGTGGCCCTCCCTCCTCTTCAGAAAGACTCGGGGGAAAGGAGAAGCAGGGCATGGGCCGCTGTGAACAGTCCCCTTTCTGAAGCAAGTTTGCTGTGTGACTTCTTACTCTTCCTTTCTTTGTTAAGCTTGGTGTTTTGTTTGCCTTAAGATTGCCCTAAAGCTGTTGGATGGGAAAAAAACCAGAAGGGAGGCATGGGCCCGCGGATGGTGAACCTCAGTGAGTGCATGGACCCGAAGAGGTGAGTGTCTTGGTCGCATTCTTCCTCACCACGCATGGTCCCCAGTGCCTGTGCCAAGATGGAGAAAGCCTTATTGCTCGCAGCTGGCCAGCTCCAGGGCAGCAGTGTGGTGGACGGGTCCGGGCGGAGGAGAGCTGCTCACAGCATGGTCCTGGGGAAGCAGAGAGCAAAGGGAGGGGCTGGGGGGGAGGTCAGCCCTTCGGAACACACCTGTGACCCCTTCTTCTGACCAGGCCCCATCTCCTGACAGCAAGTCAGTATGTGCCCCATAATCCAGGCGCCTCCCCAAAGCCCCGCCCGTGATCACAAGAGGCTTGGGGACATCTAGACCAACCACAACAAGGGAGGTCTCTTGCTGCTCTTCCCTGGCGGGACCGGGGTGCTGCCCACTGGTGAGCGCCATCCTGCCCCTTGCTCCCCACTGCGGAGTTCAGGTTTGGTTGTGAGAGTGGGCCTTTGGATGCAGGTCCTTCCAGATGTTCTGATTTCATCCTAGCTTCAAGGACTCAAGTAGGTCTTAGCCAGAGACACCAGCCATTTTCGGTCCTTTATCTGTTGCTTTTGGCCGCAGCCCATTGGCCTGGCTCAGAGGGCATTATAGTAGGAACTTGGTGGAAACCAGTGTCGTGTCAGGCAGGAGAGATGCACGCTTCTTTAGGGAGCCATGGAAGGCATTTCTGTCCTCAGTACAAAGGGTTCGCGCCTGACCAGGGTTCTTTCCTTGTCATGGACACACAAGTCGTCCCTCATCCGGCTTTCTTTTCTCACCCTGGCTGTCAGAGGTCAGATATCTGCCCCCCAGGAACCCCTGGGGACCGTACTGACCCTCCCTTTACCCCAGAAGGCTCCCCCCTGTTTTCCCTTGATGACAATTCCCTAATTCTTTAGTTCTTGTTTTCTCTCGGGGCTGCTTTATGTCCTTTAGGACAGGATCGGGCGCAGAGGAGCGGCTGACTGCACTAACCCATCCCTCCTTCCCCAGGTTAGCTGAGTCGTCGGTGGATCTGAACCTCAAACTCATGTGCTGGAGGCTGGTCCCGACCCTGGACCTGGACAGAGTTGTGTCAGCCAAGTGCCTGCTGCTGGGAGCCGGCACCTTGGGCTGTAACGTGGCCCGGACGCTGATGGTGCGTGTCCAGGGGTGCGGGTGGGCATTCACCTCCCTCTCACATTTCTGGCTTGCCTTTCTTCCTCCTCAGTGTCTTTTCTTCCTTTGTTTTGGTGTTGAGATTCTAATATTTGTTTGCCTTTATTTTTTACTTCTCTTTCTTGCCTTGCTTTTAAAAATCTATCTTATTAGTGCCTGTTTGCATAGTGACCATATACGCCGTGGGGAGTTGGCCCTTGCCCACCTCACACCTCTGTTCTTTCTCTGTAGCCTGTGTTCTGAACCACGCGAGAGGCAGCTTTTCATACTTGTGCCGAAATTGGATAGTATCAGCTTTTTCAGGTCTTTGTGCATCCAGGCAACTAACAAGTACCGTTTTTATCATTCAACTTTAAATTCCTTTGGAGGCATAGAGGCCTTTATTTTTTGTGTGAGTTTTATTTCTTCTATTCATATACTTTAGTTTGTGTTTCTTTTATGGGTTTGTAGTTGTATTTCTTATGGATATTAAGCTTTTCGGTCATGTATAAATATTTTTCTCAATTTATTCAAAGTACCTTTATCCATATGAAAGCTTTTTTAATTTTATGTCTTTGAATTTGTAGTCTTTTTCTGTATGCCTTACAGAACTCTTATTTTTGTGGTTCTGTGTTTATCAGTTTGGAATTTATTTTTGTTACATGAAAGAAATAAAGGTCTGACGAAATGAGTAGTCAGTTATTTTAATGGCATTTATTCAAGAAGCTAAGTTTAGCTGGGTCTGGTGATGCATACCTGCAATCCTAGTACCTGGGAGGCTGAGGCAGAAAGGTTGTAAACTTGAGTCCCTCCTGGACAATTTAGTGAGACCCGGTCTCAAACTAAAAATATAAAAGGGCTGGAGATGTCGCTTGGTGAGAAGGCCCTGGGTTTAATCCCCAGTACCATGAAAGAAAGAAAAGAAGCTCAAGTTTAGTTTTCCACCCACCATTAGGGGATGCTAAATCCCCTTGTGCCCCTGAGACTATCTGTGCATTCTCTACCTCACCCATAGATCCTGTATTGCTTCTCCCTGTTTTAATTGGAATGACAAGAGTTTATAGATGAATTGGGATGAGTTCATGTCTTTACAGTATTTACCCTTAGTGTGGTATAGCTGTCACTTATTTAGATCATCCTTGTGTTTTGCTAGGCCTTGAATGCTTCTTTTATCTGTTTGGTTGGTCTTTGTACCTGGGACTGACCAGGGCCCTTACTCTGAACTACTTTCCTCCTGCAGCCCCCAGGCTGGGTTTCCCCAAATCTCTCAGTTGCTCAGGTTGTGTTTGAACTTCCAGTCCTCCTTCCTCAGCCTCCTAGAGTGCTGGGATTGCAGGTGTGTGCCACCAGGCCCGGCTGCATGTGTTTTATTTAGTCTATTCCTACACATTCAGTGATTTGGGGTTTTTAAAGAGGTATGTTCTCGCATTAGGTTTTCCATTGGCTCTTCCTGGATAAGAGACATACACTGCAGTGAGTTTTGCACGTTCATTTTCATCTGGCTGTCTTCTAAGATCTCTTAGTTCTATAGTTTTTTATTTGAATCTGTTGAATTTTCTAGGGTTAGTGAGTTTTCCTCACCAAGATTCCCTCTGTGAGTCTTTGCCTTGCCTTGTAGAGTTGTTTAGGCCCGCACAGAGACAGCGAGGGAGAGTTAACACCTCTGTTGATAAAAACTTTAATGACAGAGTTGGTGTTGGATACTGGTTTCTGCTAATTATTGTTTATAAATTAAGGAAGTTGATTTCTGTTTTGCAAGTTTGTATCAGAAATGAATGTTGAAGTTGTTTTTGTTTTTGTTTTTTGAGACAGTGGCTTAAGCTGGCCTTGAACTTGAGATCCTCCTCTCTCAGCCTCCTGAGTGTTGGGTTACGGGTGTGTGCTACCACACCCAGCTATGAATATTGAGCTTTATCAAATATGTCTATGTAGATAATCAAAGTATTCTATTATTGAGCTTACCTAGAATAAGCTCCATTTTGGATTCTTCTAAAATGCTATGGGATTTAGTTGGTAAGGCTTTATTTATAAGTTTTATATCTATATCCATAAGTCAGGTTGTTCTGTAGCAGTGTTTTCTCGTGAACTGTGTGTGTTTCCCAGCTGAGTTGTAGTTACTTTATAAGATTGACAGAACTTTTCTGCCTTTTTCTATGCTCCAGAAGAGTTCTAATGTGTGAATTATCTGTTCCTTAGAAAAATGCAATTATAAATCCATCTGTGTGTGGTGGCTTCTAGAATTTTGTTGGCAGAGTGGGGCAGGGGTCCTTTGGGAGCTGTGCACATGTTTCTGTGCTGATTGGCCTCTTTAGATTTTTGTGTTGCTTTTAGGTCAGTTTGTTTTGCTAGACAATCATTTCATGTAACTTTAAACGCTGACATCGAATAGTTACGATAGTTTATCTTTAGACTCTTTTCTATTTTATATTAATCGTTCCACATTCCTAAGTTGTATATGTGCTTTTTTCCCTCTTATTCAGATGTCTCAGACTAATCAATTTTATCAGTCTTTTTAGAGAATAGTTGATTGATTAATTCTACCATTTTTATGTTTTTTGCTTTCAGATTCATCAATATCTACTTTATTAATTTATTTCTCCTTTTGTGAAATTCATTGTCCCCATGTCATTCAAGATGACGCTTGTAAGCCAGGCATAGTGGCACATGCCTGCCATCCCCATACTCAGAAAGCTAGGGCAGGAAGATTGCAAGTTTGAGGCCAGGCTACGTAGGGAGACCCTGTCTCAGAAAACTAAAGAAAATAAAAAGGTTGTGCTTATAAGGCTTTTTTGTTGTTGTTTTATTCTTGAGACAGGGTCTCACTCTGTCACCCAGGCTGGGCTGGCCTCAAATTCACAATCCTGCTATCTCAGCCTCCCGAGTGCTGTGAAAGCTTTTTAATGGCTGTAGAATATGCTTCCTTATAAGATGACACATTTAATCATTTCTCACAATCTGTTGCAACATTCCTTTACTCTTTGGCATTGACATTGTTTCCAGCTTTCTACAATTAGAAATTGTGTTGCAAAGAGTATCTTTGTGACTGGCTTCTTGGGGGTGTGCCAGGCGATTTTCTAGGACCCACTGCTGGAAGTAGGTCAGAGTGCTTGAGCATCTTTAAGATTCTAGAAACGTGCTGCCAAATTACCTTTCAGAAAGAGGATACTGGCTTCCCACCTTTCACCAGTAAAATGGTTTTCTCACCAACATCTCCTCCCCCACACGGAGTATTGTGATTTTCTTTAATCCTGGCAGATGGGCCTTGACACGGGCACCCCAGTACGCCAGCAGTAAGTGCGGAAGCACATCTGCACACGATGAGCCCGCAGCGTGTTCACAGTTTGTCTGGCTCTCTTCCCACTGCACAGCGTGTTCCCATACTGCCTTCCCTGCCTTCCAGTCAGGAAACAACTGCAGAAAGAAGTGTTCCAAGACTACGAGCAAGTTGCTTTCAGAGTTTTTCTGCTTAGCTACTGAGACTGGGAAAGCCAAGAAGTCAGCTGTGGCTTCAAAGCACGCAGTGACCCAAACTAAGCTTGTGAACGGGATAAGGATTGGGTCCTCACTGACTCTCCCCTGAAACGATCAGGCTGTTTCAAAGTCCCTAGTTGAGAGACACTGAAGTAAGTCAGCAAATGTGCAGAGTCATAGCTTTGCAGCCAGGCATCGCGAGGCCTCGCCACGGTCACTGTTCCGTTACCCTCCGTACCTCAGGGGACTGGTTCAGAGTACTGGCACTCTGGTACCAGCACAGAGCATGCTCCGGTCTCATACATCAAATGCACTACTACTGTATTTGCTTAGAAGCTTCGCATATCTTCTCATGTATGTACCTTAAACCACCCCTGGAATGCCTAATACAATGGAAATGCTATGGGGCTGGGGATTTAGCTCAGCGGCAAAGCGCCTGCCTGGCAAGCGCAAGGTCATGAGTTCAGTTCCTGGTACCGGAGAAAAACCAAAAAAAAAAAAAAAAAAACCAATGGAAATGCTATGTAAATAATCGCTAGATCGTAATTTTTAAGGGATAATGACAAGAAAAAAATGTCTGTGCATTTTCAGGACAGGGACAGTTGTTCTTCCAGCCACATTCGGTAGATTCTGCAGTTTCAGAACCCACAGGTAGTGCCTGAGGGCCGTGCTTATGTATGGTCAAGTAAAACACACCCGTTCTACCCCCAAAGAGTTGGCGTCTCCACTGGGGCACAGCTTTGGCGAGCTCATGTGTCCCCCCCATTCACTGCATGTGTGGTTTTAGACAACTCACCTTTTCTGTGCTTTAGCTTCTGTATCTGTAAAACAAAATTATTAGACTAAGGATTTTAGAGTCCTGTTCGGCTTTAAAATCATGTGGATTTATTTTATTTCTACATGCTTGCTATTCATGCGGTTTACAGTCATCGCAGTAGTAGTTACGTGTACATATTACAGTGGGCTTCTTTTCTTTCTGTTTTTTTTTTCCCCTTTCCTATTCTTCCCCCTCCCCCACAGGTCTCCCTGTCCCCCTTTTCATTCTTGTTGATATTGTCCATCTGAGCTCATGTTGTGGCGTACAGTGTTGACATTAGTTGGGGTTATTAGGTTCCTGTATATGACACATCTTTATTCTTATCTCCTCCCCCCACCCCTCAGCCCAGTGCCTTGGATCGCTTCTCTGTGGCAAGAGATCTGTCTCTTTGCCCCTTTCCATCCATCCTACATTATTTTCTTTGTTTATACTATGCCTCACTCAGATGAGAGATGCCATATGGTATTTAAGCTTGTGTCTCTGAAATCATGTGGTTTTATGAAACTTGATAGAAGATGTAATTGAAGTCTCTGGCATAATGAAAGCTATTAATGAGAAAAAGAATCATTCCATAAGTGGCCAGTTATTAATAAGGCCTTTCTGTCTTGGGGAAATAGTATAAAATATCACTTATTACTATACAGTGGGAAATGACTTGTAAATCATTTTTCTGAAGAGTTAACTGAGGCTTTAAATGAGTTTTGCAAGAAATTGTTATAGTTAATTATTTGTTAAGGGAAACCAAAAATATTCAGGGGCTTTCACTAATCCTTTTGAAGCAGCAAATAGAGGTTTCTTATGGGATTCACTTCCAAATCTTTTTCTGGTATCACAGATCAAAAATAATGAGGTAAGCCAGGCATGGTGGCACATGCCTTAATCCCAGTACTCAGGAGCTATAGTAGAAGGATCACTGTGAGTTCAAAACCAGCCTGGGCTACAAACTGAGCTCAAGGCCAGCCTGAACTGCATGGTGTGAGACCCTGTCTCAAAAAGACAAGAAAGAAAGAGAGAAAGAAAGAAAGACAGACAGAAAGAATGAACAAACGAACTATTAAATAGACCCACTGTGACATTTCTTAGTCTCATTACTGCAGGAAATCAGGTACTGAGCATATCATTATTTTGTCTTTTTAAAGCAAGAGGGGCAGGGATGTAGCTCAGTGGCACAGCACCTGCCTGGCAAGTACAGGGTCCTGAGTTCGACTCCCAGTACCAAAAAAAAAAAGCAAGGTGATAGTCTGTCTATCAAAAACTGAGTTTGCACAACTCAGTTTCTAAAGTTTCCTCTATTTTGAAGCTTCCAAGCTGTGTGGGAGTAAAACCCCTTCAGGGGACCTGGGAGGTACCTGTGAAGTATCTGTCAGCAACACACCACACTCTCTTGTCTCCACACAGGGCTGGGGCGTCAGGCACGTCACGTTCATGGACAACGCCAAGATCTCCTACTCAAACCCTGTGAGGCAGCCGCTCTACGAGTTTGAAGACTGCCTGGGGGGTGGCAAGCCCAAGGCCCTGGCAGCAGCAGACCGGCTGCAGAGAATCTTCCCTGGAGTGGTATGTGGGCACTTTCTGGGAGCATCGCAGTGGCTTCCTGTGTCTGTAGATGTTTCAGTATCAGAGAAGGCAGCGCTCTGGTCTTGGTGAGAGAATTCCTCCCAGGCACTCACAGAGGGACCACACCTCTTTTCCCTTCTCAGAGATAGGGAATAAAATACACAGTAAGAGCCAGGGGTGCAGCTCAGTGGTGAGTACTCGCCTGGTGTGCATGAGGCCCCGAGTTCCATCCCCAGGGCCAAACCACCCAACCGTCCCTGCCAAAAGATTAATTAATTAATTAAAAAAAAATCGATATATCTATATATATATATCTATATGTATATCTGGTGAAAACTAAATGAAGAATATATGAAATGATGTTTTGTGAGTTGCCCAGCATTAGACAAGTTTAAGTTGAGGAATTTGCAAGCGTGTATACTTTCATATCCTGCCTGGTTCTGCAGGGCTCTGTGGTGACTTGGGTAGGATGTTACCTTTCACCCGTCACTGGACCACCGCATAGTTACTGATGGAATTAAATCGGATAGTGCATGTAGAGCACTGGGTGAAAGTTGAATGTCTTGCTCTAGCTGCTGCTTATTTTTGTGCTCTATTATTTGCCTTAGCTACACCAGATAATCAGACAAGTTATTTACCTCATTTGACTCAAAATCTTGCGAAGTTTTTGAGGACATCCTGGAAAGGGAGTTCTACATTTTGAATGCTTAGTCGACCTATGGGACAGTAGCCAGATTAGGTCTCCTCAAAGCACCTGCTTAGACTTAAAATGCTAGAGAGGCTCTGAGCGCTCACCAAGGGAAGGCTCACCTTCTTGAAGTCTCACCCTGTAGTCATCCTTTTTGGAAATGTTTGCTGTGTGGTCGGTGTTGATGGTTTGTTCATCTCACCGGAGTCCCTGAGGAACATTACTTACTGGGTTCACTTCATTGGTATTGATCTGGTATCTGCTATGTACCCAGCCACGGGCCCAGTGCCAAAAGAAACAGAGGAAGTCACATCCCTGCCGTCGGGAGGGCTCTGCTGTCACGATATTGTGCCTCACACAACCCCAGCTCTCCACGCCTGCAGTGGCACAGTGTGCTCTGCTGAGGGGTGTGCAGGCTGTCGGTGCTTCTGTCTCTCAGTGAGGGTGGGCTTTGGCTTCTAGTCCACTTTCGGTTTGTGTGGGTATTGTTATTTCAAAGTGGAGTCACCCATTCTTCCTCTTCTTGTGGCTCTGGTGTAGATGGCAGAAGCCTGAAAAGTGGTGGCAGTTTCAATGCCCCTTACAGTGCCAGTTCAGGCATGGCACCTTCTCTGCCCATCCCCAAAGCAAGGTACATGCTGAACCTGAGTGAGTGGGGTGGGCAGTAGACCCTGCCTTCCTCGTGGGAGTCTCGCAAAGCTCCTTGGCAGAGGGAGTGGACATGTAATTCTACTGGAGACAGGAAGGACACAGGCCTGTCACTGGGGGGTATTATGAACTCCCCTGGGGTCCCTCCAGACTTGGCGTGAAACCTGAAGCCTGCCACTTATAAGTTGCCTGAATCTTTTGTTTACCCAGCTCCCGGCCATTGGCTGTGGCCCAATGCGATTCCCCATGCTTATTTGTTCAGCTCGTATGTAGTGAAGGCCTGCTCTGTGCCAAGGACGCAGTGCTCCAGTCCCCACGGGGCTTACAGTCGAGGAGGGCATGTCGTTGACAGGTAATTTCCCAAGCACGTGCAATTCTGATAAGCATAGGACCCAAGAGCTCGTTTGCCATGAGCTCACGTCTCCGGTCAGCCTGAGCCAGCCAGGTGTGGGCGGTGGAGTCGGAAGACGCCTTGAGGGAGCTGAGCGTGCAGTGCGTAGGAGCCAGCGGGACTGCCTGAGGAGCCAAGCTGTCTGTGCTGACACCTGAGGAGGAGGCATGGTGCTTGTTGGACATGAAAGAAAACCCTGAAGGCCACGCACCTGTAATCCCAGCTCTCCGAGGCCTGGCAGGAGGATCCCGAGTTTGAGGCCAGCTTTGGCAACATGGCAGGACCCTGTTTTGGAAAAAGCCTCAAAACAAGTAGAGGAAGTTGCAGCACTGTCAAAAAGAAACAGAAAAGAAGAAAGCTGAAAGCAGAAGCAGGGAGGGCCTAGGAGCACGAAAGGAGGCTTCAGTGGAAGCAAGGACCACTGTGGGCCAGGCCTGGAGGAGCAAGTCCAACCTTCCTGGAAAGAGTCAGCCCTTCCAGTGACTCAGGCCATCGGTGACTGTGTGTTCCCTACATCTGTCAGGTCCTGGACTTTAGCTGTCTCTTACCTTTTATCCCTCACACCTTGTAAATATAACAGCTGGGTACAGAGTGCCGGCATAATTCTCAAATGCAGGAATGCTTGTGAAACTGCCTAACTTGTTGCTTAGCCAGGCTTAAGAGATTTTCTCCACACTCTTGATTTGACATCATTTTCTGCACTCAGCAGATGTGTTTCTCCCATTCCTCACCCAGGTGTGGGGAGAGGGCCAGGCCCAAGAGAGCCAGTTTCGGCCCACATCAGAGTTCAGATTCCACTAGGGGGTCGAACATCTGGAGGAACTGATTATTTAATGAGGATCAAAATAAGTAAGGGTGCTAATGAAATACAGAGTAGAGTGCCTGAGGTGTGTTTGGGGGGCTAGGCTAGGTTCTCTTGAGGAAGCCTCCGTTGAGAAGGAATCAACTAAGAGAAGGGATTTTGGGGGAGGCAGCAGGTGGGCGGAATGGAAGCAGAGGCCGAGGCCAGGAGAACTCCAGGCAAGAAAAGTACCCTTTGAAAGGGAAGAGGTGATGAGTGACATGCAGACTTCTGGTCTCTGGGCACCTGGGAAAGGTGGAGGTTGGTTTGGTTAGTGCAACATTATGTAATTTGAACCATATCTTGCGTAGTTATTGCAGAATTTTAATCTCAGTGCTTGAAGCCTGTGACATCTAATGCAGGGCGAAAAGGTAAGCGGGGTAGATGTTTCTTCATTTTAAATTTTGAAATAATACATTCACAGGAAGGATATATGCCTAGAAGCCATGCCCTGGGTGACGGACTTTGGCGACAAGTAATTTCATTGAAGGGCTGACCCAGACAGCCTTTATCACTCTCATAGCTAGACTTTTGGTTTCTGTTCTAAAATATTCTTGACTGGGGCTGGGGATTTAGCTCAGTGGCAAAAGCGCCTGCCTGGCAAGCGCAAGGTCGTGAGTTCGGTTCCCGGTACCGGAGAAAAACCAAAAAAAAAAAATAAAATAAAATATTCTTGACTAAACTAACCAGGTTCTGGCTGCAGACCTTCAGGTCACTCCAAGGTGCTCCGTTGCCATGGGCAAGTATAATAGGTTGGCCAGGTCACATGAAACTTGATTTTTACCTGCATGACTTTCCGTGGAGAATCCCTTCTCTTCCACTCCCGGAAACAGTGGTGTCCTTGCCCCTTTCCAGATGCCTTTAAGTGCTGTGATAGAATAACCTGAGAAGCGCTGCTCAGATGTAAATGTTGTGCCTCATCCTGGGGTTGAATTAATTGAATAAGAAAGCAACTCATCTTTTATAGTAAAATGGTTATTTGTGGTTACCTTTTTTTTAAGGTGAAACAATAAACTAGGTTTCTGAAGCTACAGTTGAGAGAATTTTGTTTGTTTTCCTTGGGGGCTTTTTAAATGGTGCTAGAGACGGAACCCAGGGCCTTGTTCATGCGCGGTACATTCTCTACCACTGAGCACAGCCCCAGACTCACACTCGAGGGTTTAAAGCCCAGCTCTGGACACCTGTGGCCCACCCTGATGAGTCGTTGATGCCGGACTCGCTCTCCAGTCCTAAACACTTGTGCGTTTGCGCACAGGACGTGAATGGTTCTTCGGACAGTGAACAGTAGGCAGTGAAAGACTGTGGTCCTGTCAGCGGGAATGAAAGTGGCCCAGCTGATTGCCTGGTGGCACTTTCTGGCCCTTTCTAATCCTCATAGCCAAGGAGATATCGCTGTTCTTGCCGAGCTGAGGCAATGAAGTGGCTGGGATTTGCAGGACAGTGGCAGACATGAGGCGGCATGGTGGAGAGGGGGTCCAGAGACCTGCCCAACAGCAGTAGAGTCTCTGGCTAGAGAGTCACTACGCATGCTCAGGCAAGAGCCCCCTCCTGGGCGGGGGGCAGAATGGAGATTCCGGAACGCACACTGGGCCAGAGCCTTCTGTGTTAGTTATCCAGAGCGTAGTCATTAAGTGGCAGCTCAGAAAGGCCACAGAAGTGAAGATAAAAGCTCAAACTACAGCACCTCCTGACCCTATAAAGATGACCCTAAATGAAAAGATGGATAACCTGGGCTTCATCCAAGTTTTAAACTTTTGATTCCAGACACCATTAAGAGAATGCAAAGGGTGACCGAGGAGACACCTGCCACACATTCAGATTGGTGGGCAACTTTCACCCAGGATAAACAAACAACTCTTGTACCACCTGATAATAAAAAGACATGTCTGCTTGTGTTTAGGGGGCCAAAAGGCTTGGATAAGTACCTCATGGTGAGGATCTGTGAACACACAAAAGTGTTCAACATCAGTTGTCAACGGGGGATCCAGGCAAGGTGGCACACACCTGTGATCCCAGCACCCAGGAGGCAGTGGCAGGAGGGTCACTGCAGGTTCAGGGCCAGCCTGAACTACTTAGCGAGTGCTGTCTCAGAAAAACAAAACCAAAGACAAAACTGTCATTGGGGAAATAGGAATTAAAACCATAGATACATCTCTGTGCTTGTACTAAACCAACTGTGCTACATGCTGTCAGCCTGTGGAACAACTGTCCCTTTCAGCCTTTGCTGATAAAGCAACCACAGGAAGTGAAACGTATACCTACCTACCTGATGACCCAAAAGTGGCACTTTTAGATGTTTATCTTAGAGAAACGCACACAGATGTGCTGAAATGCCTGCATGAAAATTGTCCACTGCCATTCTAATAGCCAGCATCTAGAAATGACTCTGGTCCTCATGAAGAGGAGAATGAATAAACCTGTCCTACCGTAGTCACAAGGACAGAAAGTGGCTGCTGCTGACACCAGCAGGGATGCCAAGCAAACAAGTGCCTATCTGAGGATCTCATTCAACTGAGGCTCCAGAACAGCCAAAATTGGGGTGTGGTTTATAAAACCAGAGCAGTGGTTGTGGGGATTGACCAGGAAGGGATACAAAAGAACACTTTGGGGCCATGGGGATGTCCTGTATCTCAGGTCATGGGTACACCAAACCGTACATGCGACATTTGTGTGCTTCACTTTAGGTAAGTTACACTTGCCCTGGTGACACCTTCCGGCCACCTGGGGAGGATTAGACAGTACTGACTTGATTTGCAACTTGTTTGACCTTAAAGAGGCCAAGGAGGTGGAGGAGGCAGGCAGTGGGAAGGGAAAAGCACCATCATCTGGCACCCAGGGATTTCTCATTGCAAGCGAGCACATGTGTGTGCTGCCGGTTGGGATGATGGCACCCAACTTGTGCCTTGCCTTTGCTCCGGAGGTAACCCCATCCCCATGTCTCCCCAGAATGCCAGGGGTTTCAACACGAGCATCCCCATGCCTGGGCACCCTGTCAACTTCTCCAGCATCACCCTGGAGCAAGCCCGCAGGGACGTGGGGCAGCTGGAGCAGCTCATTGAGAGCCACGATGTTGTCTTCCTGCTGATGGACACCAGGGAGAGTCGCTGGCTGCCCACCGTCATCGCCGCCAGCAAGAGAAAGGTAGTTGGTGGAGCCGGCGCCAGGCTCTGATCGTGGCCAGTGCCCACAGTCCAGAGGAGGAGGGGATGGCTAGGGTGGCCTGTGGCCGGTGCCAGAGGCCTTCCCCCTCAGACTCCCTTTCCACCTCACATGGCACCAGTAGAAACAATTCGCTGTGGAGTCTTTCTAACCTCCTTTGAAGGACCGCTGTTTATCAGTGACCGCTTCAAAGGCTGGCAGTACTGAATAGTTAACTAAACCATGCCCCATACCTGTAATAAAATAGCGTACAGCCATTCGCAGCTGTGTGTTTCAGAGAATTTTAGTAATATGGAAAATGCTGTTGTACAATATCGTAAATATTTTCTTAGTTTATATATAAATATTGCCGCCTCTGTCCATCTATCTGTCCATCCTCTGTCTACTGAAAGGAGAGAGGAGGGCAAGAAGAAAGGAAAGAAGGGGGAGGAAATATGAGTGAAATGGAGGAGATAGTAGGAAAAAATGCTCCAGACTGTCCCTTCTAGAACAGCTTTTCTTCATTGTTCAAATTTTTCATATGATCAGAAGTTTGGGAGAATAACTTAAATTACAACTAGGAAAAGTTCTTGTAGCGTGAATGGAAAATTAAAAAAAAAAAACTGTCCTTCAAAATAAAAATACGTGGATAACAAAGTCTGGCATCCTGGTGGGCAGAATGGGTCTGAGAACTCGTGGCCACAGCTTTGTCACCAACCTCTTTGTCACCCACTGGGTGACTTGGGCCACGTACAGAACCAACCCCTGACTCTCCACACCTCCTCCTGAGTGGGGAACGTGTGCAGGGAGTTCGTGAGAGCAAGTGAGGTCCCTGTGCTCCTCTTGTCCAGTCCTTTGCCCTTCGTATGCCCCGCATACTCAGGATTCTTACCACCCTCGGCTCTGACAGTCTGGTCACACTCACATGCAGAAAATAAATTCTACAAGCTAACAAAATGGGAAATTAGCCACGACTTGGAATGTGTTTCTCTCAACTCTCTCCTCTTATTCCTGAAAACCCACAGCTGGTCATCAATGCTGCCCTGGGGTTTGACACATTTGTTGTCATGAGACATGGCTTGAAGAAACCAAAGCAGCAGGGAGCTGGGGACGTGTGTCCGTGCCACCCTGTGGCATCTGCTGACCTCCTGGGCTCGTCGCTTTTTGCCAACATCCCTGGTTACAAACTTGGCTGCTATTTCTGCAATGACGTTGTGGCTCCGGGAGATGTAAGTAGATTTCTCTGTGGTTGCAGATATTTCCTGAACCATCTTGTGTCCCGGGAGCAGAGACCCAGTGCATCCATTGGTCCATTGTTCTTTAAATATTTAAATCTTGTCTTTTAACAGAAGAACTGCAGTATTGGGGGCTGGCGATATCCCACAGTCTTCCTCAATCTGCATCCCTAATTCTGCAGCTCTTCCTTGGTCACCAGCAGAAACGCAGCCACAGCCATGGGTGTTGGGGGAGGCACTCAGTGAGGAAACCACAGTCTGAGTTGATTCCTGACCTCACCCCGCCCTGTGCTCTGTGCACACCTTCGTAAAGGGCACCTAGGCAAGGCGGGCCGGAGACCAGCTTCTGGCCAGACTCAACCCTGCCTCACCAGCCAATCCCAAATAAATCCCTTGGGCTCTATCTGCAGCATGGGAGCAGGACATGGGCTTGTCACATTGAGCAAGTGACAATAGAGGTTTGCCAACTAACCTAGAATTTCAGGGACATAATGATTTTTTTTAGTGTAAATATGTCTCAGGCAATATTCGAGACTACTTATGCTCAACGTTTTATTTATTGTTTGCCTGAAACTCACATTCACTGTGTCCCTTGGGCCTTATCCAGCAGTCTAGGAGAAAAGGGATGAAGGGCAGCCCTGTCTGCTTGCAGTGCAGAGTGCGTATGGCGTGCAGGCATCTGAGCGGCCTGGGCGTGCTGCGCGTCATTCGCCTCTGCCACCCTCCAGTCGGCCTGTGGGAATGGTGTTACCAGCCCAGATCAGAGCTCCCAGGGAAGCCACTAAGAGATGTCTTCTGTGCCCTCTCCTGTCTTTTCTCCTTCTTTTAGAACTGTTGTTTAATAACTCGGACCTTGTTTGGGTGATCGGCCTTTATGTCCTCCCTTTGTGAAGAGAAGATGGCCTTTCACTATAGGAGAAGGGATGGCTCGAGGATGTCCACTGTGGTGCTGGGTATACAGCTGGTCCTGTGACTGCCCACAAGTCTGATTCGGGGTCCACTGACTTACAAGGCGAAATCCTCACTCAGAATTACCCAGCAACCCCTGGATGTGCCTAGAACAGGAAGGATGAGTTCCTGTGGCCGCGTTCCAGTGCAGCTTGTGTGGGGGGCCAGGAGGGGGTGAGGATGCTTGGAGCTGAGGCCTAGGCCACACACAGGTGTGAGAGCCACAGAGGGCCACGATGGCAGTATGGCAAATTACTGCCCTTATGTCGGGGACCTCAGTGTTTCATGGAGGCAGAATCCTGTTCAAATGATTGCTTCTCTCTGCCTCCACCTCCCGGCTTCCAACACAGGTGAGGAGATTGAGTCAGCTTTGGGGCACATGCTGCAGGGCCATTCTGTGAGGCAGGAGTGTCCTTGCTATTGGCTGAAAACCCCCATGCCATGAAGGTTGAAGTTGCTGATCCTCATCAGCATATTACTTCATTGACTCTCATGTTTGTCTTGATCCTCCCAAGAAGGATGCTGTTTGAGGCTGGACGTTCGCGGCCACCAGGGTGTGTCTGGTTGTGGTGACAGCTAGGCCTCAGAGGACAGCATCACTGAGCACACGCACCCATGCTTGTTCCTCTGCAGTCAACCCGGGACCGGACCTTGGACCAGCAGTGCACTGTGAGCCGTCCGGGCCTGGCCATGATCGCGGGAGCCCTGGCGGTGGAGCTCATGGTTTCTGTCCTGCAGCACCCAGAGGGGTGAGTCTGCTTTGCCAGCAGTGGTTGGTTTATCAGCGTCCCCTCTCTGTTCTCACTCTGATGCTCCTGAGAATTTGATTGTTCTTGCCTTCCCCTAAAAAACAAACCCCAAACAAAACAAACTGGTTCAGTGTTCAGCCTGAGAGAGCTTGGCATGTGTCCTTTGAGGCTATATGCCTACCTCCTCTGGACTTGAATTGTCGAAGTTATTTGGCCACCTGTCATCTGAAGAAATTAAATTTTTGCAGGCGTCTTAGGACTTTCCTGCTTGTATTCCATTCATAAGTTTTGATTTTCTAAGCCCTGAGCATCTGTGAGGCAGTACACGAGTCCTGATGTTAGAAATTGTGCTCAGCTGCACGGATAGAGGCCCACATTCAGTGACTCAGCTGAACGAGGCTTGATGGTCCTCGTGCAGCAGGAAGTTCAGAGGTCAGTCATCCAGGGAGGGGACAAAGGGGCCATTGTACCACGGGGGACTCGAGTTCCCTCCTACACTCTTAGCCCTTCCTCTCTCTTTCTTTCTTTGGTTTTTTTTTTTTGTTTTTGTTTTTGGATTTTTTTTTTTTGAGACCTGATCTCACTGTGAAGTTCAGGCTGGCCTCAAACTCACTATGTAGCCAAGGAAGGTGCTAAACTTGCAACAGTCCTCCTGCCTCAGCCTCCTGAGGGTACGCCACACCTCTGTGGTGTATGTGTGCTATCATGCCCAACGTAGCTCTCTTGTCATCCTGTGGTCACAAGATGCCTGCTGTGGCTCCAGTGATGAGTCTGTATTGTAGGAAAGGAGTGACCAGGGGATTAGAGGTTTTGGTCAGCTCAGTCTACCCTCTTTCAAAGAGCTTTCCTGAGGACTCCCACATTGACTCTAACTCCTAGTTGCAAGCAATTATGGCAGACGTTTCTTGGCTGGCCACGTTGCCTCTGAATAAAGTTGTGAGAAGGTAGAAGATGATAATGGATATTGGGTAAATAACTGGCAATGTCTTCACATTTATTTTTAAAAATTCTTTATATTTTAGCCACACTCATATTCCCAGCACTCTGGGAGGTTGAGGCAAGAGGATCATAAGTTCCAGCCCAACCTGGGCAGCTTAGTGCCTTAGTGAGATCCTGTTTGAAAAAGGGGGAGAAGGGGTTTGCAGCTTATTGCAAAAGGTTCAATCCTCAGTACTACCAAAATCAAACAAGCAGAAGTTTATAGTTTAAACCCCAGAATATTTTGTCATTGTTATGTAGTTGGTACTCCTTTCATTTTGGTAACACTTTTCATTTTTGTTACTTCTCGTTTCTTGCTGTATCTTCAAGCTTCTAACCTAGCGCATTTTCCGTGTGCCCGAAGAATAAATACCTTTTACTGTTTCCTTCCGAAACACTGAGACAAAGACATGTCAGTGTGTGTGTCTGAAAACATCTTGCTTGAGATGTGCTGACGTTGGATGGGACCCATCTTCTCTCCCCCTGACGAGCGCGGTCTGTGTCTGAGTGCTGTCGTCTGGGTTGGGAAGGGTGCTGTGGCCTGCTGCCCTCTCAGTGCTTGCTCTCCACCTTCCTGCCGTGGGTCTGACAGCGAGCTTCTCTTTGTCTGCTTTCCAGAAACATGGCCATGCATGCCCACGAGATTCTGCTCATCCTGGCGGAGCTCGCTAGTGTTTCCTGAGTCCTCGGCTGGATGTGTGTCAACTTCTCTGGAAAACTCTCAGGCACTATCTCTGGAAATACCAGTCATGACCCATGCGCTCCCGCTTTGTTGTTCTTAGAGGGGGCGGTCCAGTTACACATAGGTCAGAACCAACCCATGGGTCTTTCAGGTTATTTTCTCTGTTTTTCAGACATTTGTCTTTCCTGGTTTCAGTCTGGAGATGTACTCTTGGCTTACCTTCCAGTTACTGATTTTCTCTTTGTGTCTGATATATGTTAAAGCCATCAGTTGAGTTTTTAATATCATTATTACATGTTTCAACTGGGCATGGTAGCACACACCTGTAATCCCAGCACTTGGGAGGTTGAGGTAGAAGGATTACTGTGAGTTCAAGGCCAGCCTGGGCTATATAGTGAGTTCAAGACCAGCCTGAACTATGTAGTATAACCTTGTCTTAAAAAAACAGAAACAAAACATTATTACATGTTTCAGTTGTATAATATCCATTTCATCTTAGTTTATCCATTTCCATTTTCTGCTGAAGTTGTGATTTTGATCTTTCTGATTCCATGAAAACTTGGATGTTTTCCTTTAAGTGCTTAGCAGATATCTCCACTGTCTGGGTCCCCTGGGGTGTGTTCCTGTTCTCTGTAGTTTTTCTTGGCTTTTGGTCATGTATTACTTTTTCATATACCTATTTTTTCCAAAACAACAATCAAACTTTGAAGTATGGAAAATTCAAGCAACATGCATGAAAGAATATATATATAGTGTGATATAGTGTGTGTGTATATATATATATATATAAAATATATAAAATGTGTGTATATATATATATATATATATATATATACACACACACACACTCTTCACCACCAAATTTCAAAAATTACAAATGCACAGCCAGTCATCATTTATCTGTGAGCCTGACCACTTGTTTTTCATTTCCCACTGGCTTTTTAAAATGCAAACCCAAGACATAGCATTTCATTCGTAAAATGTATATTTTTGTGTTTATCTCTACTATTTTATGCATAAAATAAGTTAAAAACAATTCCTTCATATAATCACATATTCCCTCTCCCCGCTTTTTGGTGCTGGGGATTGAACCCAGGGCCCCACAACATGCTAGGTAAGTGGTTTACCACTGAGCTACATCTCCATCCACACATATCCAGTTAATAGTTAACTTCTCAAGCTGGGCACTGCTGCCACTTGAGAAGCTGAGACAGGAAGAGTGCCTGAGCCCAGGAGTTCACAGCCAGTCTGGGTAGTAGAGTAAGACCCTATCTCTTAAAAAAAAAACAAAGGCTGGGTGTGGTGGTGCACATCTGTAATCTCAACACCTGGGAGGCTGAGGCAGGAAGATTGTTGTGAGTTTGAGGCCAGCGTGGACTACACAAGTGAGTTCTGAGGTCATGTCTTTTTGTTGTTTTTGTGTTGTTTTGATTTTGTCTTCAATGTTGTTGTTTTATTAGTTTTTTTTAATCTTTAAAATAAGAAAAATTTTTTTAAAAAAGGAGTTCAAGACCAACCTGCATTACATAGTGATGGGCCTCAAAAAACAAACAATAACAACAACAACGACAACAAAACAAAAACCGGAGAAATTCTTCTAATTCCTTGCACATGGTGTTCGTTAGTTTGCTTTGTTTTGGGAGCAGGGGATACACCCAGAGGTGCCAAGAAGCGCCCTCCTTACCCTTGGCCGTATTCCTCGGGCCTGTTTAGTAATGTCACTGAGTGCTTGGAATTATATATGAAACTTTGTGGAGATGCTCTGATTTTCTGGCTCAGTGCTGCGCTTAGTACACTGGCTCCCTAGACTCCCTTAATCAGCTGTGGCTGGTCTCCTGGGCCCCTCACTCTGAGGAAAGAGGCCCTGTGATCTCTGCCCAAAGCCAGGGCTCTTTTCCATGTTCCTCCTGAATAGAAAAGCTCAGACTCCAGTTTTTCCCTTCAACTTCAAGAATCTTTCATTGTCATCATTCAGCTGTGAATCTATGGCTACTCCTTTTGGAGGTCGGACAGTCACTTTTTGAAGGCCCCTTCCCCAAGATGCCTGGTTTAATTTTATGGTCTTCTCTCTGCTTACAGATCTTGGCTTTAATTCTTCTTTTTGTTGCCTTCTGGTCCTTTCTATTATTTTGGTGGTATTGAGGATTGAACCCAGGGCCTTTGACCTGAGCTACATCCCCAGCCGTTTTTTAATTTTGTATTTTGAAAGAGAGTCTCATTGAGTCACTACGTACCCTGAGATGGGCTTGAACTTGCAACCCTCCTCCTGCCTCAGCCTCTCAGAGTGCTGGCATTACAGGTGTGTACTGCCACCTCAGGCTTCTGCTCAGCTTTGTTGAGGGCCTTGTGCTGCATCACAATAGGATGGGGAAACAGAAGGAAAATAGGAACATGTGGAAGGGCACGTGTGCGGACCGGAAGTACAGGGGAGTGTCATCACGGTAACCAGTCCAGTCCCGCAGTAACTAGTGAGACCCAGCTCTCCCTGAGACTCACCCAGTCTTGGGGGGTGGTAACCCAGACTCTCTGGGAAGACATTAATCCATTCTCGGGGCGGTGTTTCCATGACCTGATGACCCCTGAAAGTCCCCACCTCTCAATACCATTACCCTGGCAATTCATTTGCATCAAGAGTTTGGCCAAGGACAAACCGTACCACAGCCATAGTGTTTACTTTGCTGTTCATTCTCAAAGCAAGAGTGGGTACCAACTACCTAGTTCACCAGTGCCACACACATTTGGAAAATATTTTTAAATTTATTAAGCACTCATAGTGCTCTGGGATGGCATGAGAAAAGAAAGAAGTGAGTGGACTGGCATTTTTCTGTTCTTTCTGGATTTTTTTTGGTGCTGGGAATGTAACCCAGAGCCTGTGTATGCCAGGCGAACGCTCACCACGGAGCCATCCCCACCAGCACCTGCATGGTATTTTGTTTCCTCTTGGCCTTGGGCCTTTTAGTGGCCCCCGTGTTGAACACAAATACTAACTCATTTGACATGTTCACAGTGGACTGTAATTTGTATGTCTCACTGCTGGATGGCTCTGATTTGAACATGTAATGGTGCCAGCTGGTGGGAATGTGTTAATCTTCATATCAGATGTATTAGGAAAGAACTATTATTATTATTCTGCTTTTGATGGGGAAATTGAGGCATGGCGAGGCTAATGAAGAGGCTAAACTCACCTATTTAGTAAGCAGAAAAGCCAGGACTTAGCTCAGCGGGTGTGGCACTGGATTCTGTTTGAGCACTGTGCTGTGCTATCTGTCATACAAGCAAGAGAGAATCAAATTCATTAGAGATTTACTTCTCAGCAATTAAAGATTTAGTTCTCAGAAGGGCAACATACAAGTTCACATGGGTATTCTACTTGTTTTGTGACTTGGGTTTTCTACACAGCTGAAAAGATGGGCTCCGTGCAGTTCTGGTCGCACATGTAACGGGTATAGACACTCTGGTGTTCAACGGAAAGGAACAGTGTTTACCTCCCGTTATTTTTGTCGCCTGCTATCGTTGTCCCTGTCATTTAAGTTTGAGGCTGCCTCCTGGCAGGAAGTACTTGGTATTCCATCTTTGAGGGCTGATTTTACTTTCTACTGGCCCTGGCCCTGTGCCTGCCTCATTTGTCCTGGTCGTGGGTTAAAGACCAGGTCCTACGTCACGTCACACTTGAGACATACGTAAGCACCACACTGGCGAGTGCGTGATTTCTCCTGCTTAATTTCTCATGGCTGTTTCTCCTTCTTCCACTTTGGTAGCATTTATATCTGTTCATGAAGTTAGGATTAAGCTGGGTCTGGTGGTGCACGCCTATAATCCCAGTAGTCTGGGAGGCTGAGGCAGGAGGATCAGAAGTTCCAGCCCAGCCTGGGCAACTTAGTCACTTAGCAAGACCCTGTCTCAAAAGAGAAAATTAAAAAAGGGCTGGAGGTAGCTCAGTGCAAAGCCCTGGATTCAATCCTCAGTACTTGAGGGGGAAAAAAAGAATGAAGAAAACACAAGAAGTTAAGGTTAGAATGTTTTCCACCTCAAAATTTCAGTGCAAAACTGCTGGGGGTATGGCTTAGTGCCCGATGTCTGCTCATCATGTGGGAGGACCTGGGTTCTGCTCCAGCACTGCAGCGGGTTGAGGTGTTTTATAAAATGACCTTAGAGTGCAGGAGTTGTGTTTATAGGCTTACCTTGCACCAAGCATTGCTCTTGGCAGTTTATCTACCGTCCTCTTTATTCTTGGTTTTCCCTTTGTTTTGTATTTTCTTGAGACAGGGTCTCGCTATGTAGTCCAGGCTGGCCTTGACTTCACTATGTAGCCTAGGCTCTCCTCAGACTCCAAGTGATCCTCCTGCCTCAGTCTTCTGGGTGCTGGGATTAGAGGGATACAGCAGCACACCCAGGTTTCTTGTTCTTGTTCTATAGGCAAGGACCTGAAGTTCAGAGAGCTTAAGTTACTTGCCAGTGGCCACACATTTTGGTTTTCCAACTCTGAGTCATCAGTGTTTTGTTGGTGGTGGGTTTTTCTGTTTTTTTTTCCGGTACCGGGAATTGAACTCACAATCTCGCACTTGCCAGGCAGGCTCTGTGCCACTGAGCTAAATACCCAGCCCCTTGTTGTTGTTGTTAACACATTCTTCCTTCCCTTCAGAGACAGGAGGGTTTTGCCAGAGCCTGCTGTCCGCCCAGGGCCGCTGGTGCCCTCCACACCTCAGCAAACACACCCTATTCGCGGGTTCACTGAGCAGCTTCACTGTTCCCTCTCCCCAGGGGCTACGCCGTCGCCAGCAGCAGTGAGGACCGCATGAACGAGCCTCCCACCTCTCTGGGGCTTGTGCCCCACCAGGTCAGTGATGGGACTGAGGCAGGGCTCTCGCTGGCCCTCTGCCTGTGTGCAGGGTGGGGGACGCTTAGGGTCCCTTCCCTATCTGAGCACAGCCTGCTTCCTCTGGGATTTCAGAGGGACCTTTGTGGCCACCTGGAAGGTGTGCTTTCTAGGGGAGCTTGTGGGGAGACATTGGGACCCAGGAGCATGGCCGGATCTTTGATACTTTCCACCTGCTGACCCAGTGGGAAAGGAGGGCAGGCTTTGCAATCAGCCGGACAGTGGCTGGAATCCCAGCCCTGTGGGCGTGAAGGTGGCCTTCTGGCCAGAGCACAGAACCTCTCCCCAGGCTTAGTGCTTCTCTGTAAGTAAGACCCGCCCCACCCCCTTGGGCTAGAGACTAGGACGTAGTGTGAGTCCCTAGGAGTGACACTTGATGCACTTGTCCCTGCTGTTTATTGTTATTAACTTGTTGACTCCCTACCTAGATAGAACGGGAAGGCAGTTAGGAAGATGTTGCCTCCCCCAAAGCTGGGGCTTTCTTCAGCAACAGAACTGAAGCATCCTATGGAAGTTCCATCCCTTAGGGAGTGACCCCAAGAAAGCAGAGGGACACACTGAGATTCAGGTGGCCACTTCAGGGTTGTGCATCACTAGGTGCCTCAGAGGGAGTGAGAGGTCCTGGTCTGACCTCTCGGAAGTCAGTGCTCTTCTCCCATGCTGTGTGCCGCCCTCTCAGGGCAGGGGCGGCTGTGCCTGTCAGCGTCTGGTTCTGTTCTGGCTTTGGTGCGTGCTGAGCATGTGCTCTGCTGTGCATGCCGTGAGCGGCACCCCGCTGTACCTATCCATTTGATGCACTGGGGCAGACTCCCTTCCTCCTGCCCATGCCCGCTCCAGCCCTGTCCTTTCCCAGTTGAGGAGGGAAAAAGACCCCAGCAGGTCGTGGAGAGGGTCACCGGCTGCCGGCTGCTCTCACACCTGCCCTCCCACCAGTGCTGTCCCTGATGCTCATCGGGAGCCTCAGCTTCTGGTCCCCCCACCTCCCACCGCACACCCGGCATTGGGTCCTCCCTCCCCGAGCCCCACATCCCTATCCGTGAAAGCAGGTGCACCGCCTGTGTCTGGGAGCCCCCCTGACGCAGGTTGGGACCACAGAGCCCCGGGCAGTGTGGCCTCCCCCAGCTCGCACTACGGGGCCCTGTACTGGCATCGCTGGATGCTGACCTCCAGGCCGCCGTCCCCACCCCTTGGACCTTGAGCCGCATCCCTGTCTCCTTTACAGATTTGTGCTGAGAAAGGCCTTAATTAAATTTTCAGTCATGCCCTGCTCTGGTTTCCTTCTTTAAGCCCTTTATGTTCAATTACTGCAGTTGTAGTTTTCTCAGTGCCGAGGCCAGAGGGCAGAACCGGCTCTTTAGAGAAGGGGCCGGTGTCAAAATGCATGTGCCCGTGTTTTCCGAGTACTATGGCAACTAATCCCTCTCGTGTGACTGATCCCCATTGAGCCTGGCGATTGTTTGTCACTCAGCAGCCCTTCCAGTTCCCTCTCCTCCTTTTTAGCCGCCTGAAGGATTATTTTGGTTGTTGGCCATCTCTTCATTTGGTCTTTTCAAAGACTGAAGAATAACTCGGCCATATATGGGAAAGGCCTGGGTGTGTGTGTGTGTGTGTGTGTTCACTTGCTTACAATATTTCAAATTTCAAGTCTTTATTTTTAGCTGCATTCTAAAAAAGAAAGTGGAGAAAGAATTTAATCAGGGCTGTGCTGTCCATTTTTAGTGTTTAAACAACTTTTCCTTTTTCTTAAGCGGATGCATCTATTTCTGAAACTGTGTTTTGATGAGGGGAAATGTCCTTTGCGCAAAAACACTGCCCAGTTGCCGATTCAGCACTTCACTCCTCCCCTTCCTCCGCACCCTGCCTCCCCCCTTCTTCTTCCTCCCCTCCCCCTCATGCTCCCCACCACTCCAAGATAAATGGCTTCCTGTTGGAGGGAACTCAGTAAACTCCTTTGTGTGGTTTGCATGTGAAGAATGACCAGCCAGGCTCTCTTGGCTCATTTTTCTCAGTGCCCCAAAGGAGACCGTTTCTCCCTTTTCTCCTGCAGAATGAGCTGCAGTATTGCAGGAAAGCAACAGTCCTTGGACTGAGACTCACACGGCCCCCACCAGCAACTCCTTGTGTAGCTTGGAGGAAGTTCCTTAGCTTTCCCGCGTTCCCTGCTCCCTGTCCTCTGGGTGAGAGCCGGGAGGCCTAAGGGTTACTTGTCCTTCTCTGTGGGCTAGGGCAGAATTCAGTCCATCCAGAGATTGGCCAAGTACAGAGAGGCATCTCTGGACTCTGAAACTCAATGAATTTCTGCCCAAAGAAACCTCTTATTGACTCTGAAAACTGTGAAAACCATTTAAGGTGAGAAAATGGGCATATGGGTCCTGGTTTTCAGATTTTTAAAAATTTGTTTTTCAAGTTTGTCCCCAAGTACATGATTTTCCAAGCAGGAAGCAACAAGTGTGAGCTACTTTGTGTCCATAAAGAAAGTGATTCTTCAAAAAATCATTTTAGCCAGGTGTGGTAGTGCACGCTTCTAATCCCAGCATTCGGAAGGCTGAAGCAGGAGGATTACAGTGAGTTCAAGGCCAGCCTGGGCTACATAATGAGTTCAAGGTCAGCCTGAACAACACAGTAAGACCCTGTCTCAAAACAAACAAAATTATTTTACTGGCGCATAAAATCCCACCTGTCACTAGTGTACAACTTGATGGATTACTACAAAATGAGCACACCTGTGCCAGCACACAGATCAGAAGAGTATGGTCGGGCACCCGTGCTCCTTCCACCAGAGAGGGGAGCATCGTTTTTGGGGAGACAAGGGCTCACTATGTAGTCCAGGGAAGCTTGGAGCTCGTAGTTTTCTGTCTCAGCCTCCCACGAGCTGGGATGACAGGTGTGCCGAGAGGTAAGCATCTCTGAGCCTCGGCCCCATGGGAGACTCTCGTCTGACTCTGACCTTCCTGTAAATGGTCCCGTGGTAATGCACTCCTGGTCTGGCTGCTTTGGTGGAGAGCTTTGTCACTGTAGTTCCTAATGTAGTCGTGGTGTGCCTCTGCTTCCCAGCCCCTGGGATCTTTTACTGAGGGCCAGATCCTCCTTCTGGCCCTTTGGTGCTTGGCACCATTCAGGTATTATGAAAGGCATGGGCCACTCCCAAGGTCTGAAGGAAGCCAGGCTACAAACTGGTGAGAGACCCTGACCATGGCGGAGGTTAGTGGATGACAGTCCCGCTGGGCCATGGTCAGACCCTCAGTGACCACAGCAGTTGTCCAAACCCCAAGATCCTGCTTAACTGGTTAGTACTGTTTGTGTACCCGGCAGTGCACGTGCTTTGCCTCCGGTAGATATACTCTGGGTTCTAGACTGCTGAAGAAAAGACTCTGGATGTGTGTGGCCCTTCTCTGGGTCACAGCTTGCCACTCTCACAGATCACTGGAGCTCTTGAGTTCTTTCTTGTGGTTTGTTTCAAGAAAGTAGAACAAAGGCAAAACTAAGGCAGGAGCCTGTGAGTGCTAGGGCTGGGACTCTAGGGAGCCAGTCAGCCTTGGGCTGCTGCTGCTTTGGCCTCTCTGCTCAGCCTGTGCCCTCAGATCCTTAGGCCTTTTGCTTCTAAAAAGGTCTTGTTTCCTGTGCTAGGAAACATGGAGAGCAGTGTGTGTGTGACCTAGTCGTCCCATCTCCCTGTCCCGTCAGCTACTGGCAGGTGCTTCCCACTACCAAGTTCAGAGAAGTTAAGAAGCAGCACAAGGTCACCAGTGTTTGATTCCTCTGGTTTTGAAGCCATCTAAAGTGGATGATGGATCCAAGCCATGTGGGTACAGTGGGGAGGAGGCGTCTGGGTAGATCTGACAATGTCTAAGCTGCTTCTGTGAGGCCCTAGAAGAAGGGGATTCACCTTCTGCGGAGGACAAATCCTTGAAGTCAGAGTCTTAAGCATCTCAGGGTAACATCTTGTCCCAGGAGGAGCCAGGCCTCCTGCACCAGTTGAAAGATGTCACTGTGCTATATGAGCGTTGCTCATGGGACGAGACTGTCCTGAGGCTGCCCCATGTGGGGTTCCCATGGGAGAGGCGGCCTGAAGCCTTTGTGATCATTCAGATCTCACCAAGTCCACTTTGTTCTCAATCTCATAGCAGTCATTCATTCATTCATTCATGCTCTCATTTTCCCAGAGGACTTGAGGCAGCTCTTGTCCCTCATCAGTGTGCTGATGGGCAGGTTGCTTGTATCTGTAAAATGGGGAGAATAACATAGTAAGCTCTGGAATTCTTACGTGGGTTAACTTGTGTTTACCAGGCACAGTTCTGGGCACATGGAGACACTTAGTTGTTTTGTTCTTTCCCTTTTTATCCCACTGGAAGCTTCTCTCCTCTCCTAAGCAGGAAGTTGCATGGGATCGCGTGGACTCTGGGAGCAGTGGTCACGTAGGGAATGGCTGGAAAGATGAGCTCTGCTCTGCAGTGTTTTTCTGAGGATGTTGCTGGCGCATTTCCACTTCCTTCTGTGCCCCTTGGTGGCTCAGGTGTGATGCTGAGAGGCAGGTGGCAGGGGGAAGCGGAAGCTCTGATCTACAACAAAGACCTCTCCTTGCTGTGACTAAACTCCCCATCTCGGCATTGGATTGGATTGAGACTTCAGCATCCAAGAGCAATCTGGAGTTTGGAGCACATTTTTAATTGTGAAGATTCCCAGCGCTAGGCTAGTGCCAGGCCTGCTGGAAGGTGGTCGCTGAAGCTAGAGCAGTGAGTTCCACTTGGGCCCCAGTGAAGCCCTCAGAATGGCCAGGCTGGGTGCGAGGGGAGGAAGGGTGCCATCTATTTATTTTGTAACCATCTGGGCAGAGACTAGGAAGAGAATTGCGTTCACCTGCTAGGAGTTCCAACGTCGGAGTGTTATTGGATGTTTCCTTTACATCCCTTGGGCTTTCTCTTCCTTCCTTTCTTTTCACTCCCTCTGTTACTTTCACCCCA